AGTTAACACTCAATTAAAATTTAGAGGAAAGCTCTTGAATTTCTTGATTCTTTTTTTATTGAATTAAATGAATTAAAATTATGGTTTCATTTCAATTTGCTTATTATCTGTGATCATAAAAATATATATTTACTTCTTAGCTTATGTATAAATAGATTGAAATAATTCTAATTCTTAATAAAAAAACTGCACTGGATATATTTTTATTAGATATAATTATTTATATTATTTGATTTTTATGAATTATTTAATTAATTTGAGTACGGTATACATCTTACATGGAATGGCATTAATTGATTTAGGTTGGATATAATTTCTCATTAGATTTCATAGAGTTGTTTGAAATGTTGTATTATTTTTATGTCTCTTCATCCTAATTGGTATTCTACAGCAAATTTTGAATGCACTTTATTTCACAGTATCAACATGTTGCCAAGACCAAGACGGACTGTATGAATTTACTCAACCAGTATCGAGGCCTTGCTGCCAAATTGGCTACATTTGGTAGGTTGTGCCCTTTATCTGTCTTTAATTCTTTGTCATTTCCTGTGAACTTTTATGACTATTGTGATATGATTGTTATAAGATAGATTCTAAAATATAATGATATAGGTACTGATGATTCAAGTATATACCTAAGTTTAACCATCATTACTCTGGAGGTTGGGAAATGTTTACAAATCAAAGTATGCATATGATATACTTTTTTGGATATTTGTTGTAGTATGTATAGAATAGGTATGTACAGAACTTTCCAAATATGCAATGCCTATAGAGATAATTTATGATGATATCCATAATTTTGTTAGTTAAAGATATTGGCTCTACACAGATAAACTCAGTGAAATACACAAAAAATATAATTTCCATCATTAGTTGTCATTTTTATTAGATTGTTAGTATATTTTAAATACATAAATGAATCAATGATAAAGTGTGATTTTGAATATTCTTTTATTTTGCCATATTATATACCTATAGTACTCCATCCATCTTCATGATGATCATATAGGTACTCAGCAATAAATTTGTTAGCTCATTGTTCATTAGTTCTACCTTCTCTGTACATGACTTGAACCTCTTCACTCTCTTGGCTTGGCATTTAATTATCACTCCCTCATATTCAAGTGTTTAATGATGGCATCACAAAGCAGTTACTCACACTGGATGGTACCATTCCTGTACCCTTCAAGGGTGAGTTTAATGAGGCCTTAATGTTACTGCTCTGCCTGAAAGATCTCCTGTTACATTTCCTCTCCATGCATTATTTGCCTGTTAATTTTCTCAGTATTGNGCATTTATTTTGACATTTGATTCATGCATTGTCTCCAACTTTACACAAGTGTGCAAAATTTCAGATCGATAGGATAAGTAGAAGTGTGTTAAATTTCGATTACAAGATTTGTAGCAGACAGACAGACAGACAAACAAACAAACAAGAAGTGAAGTTAAAGAGAAGTGGTGTAAAAATATATTCACCTTTTATGTTTAACTGATATTTCGGAACTGATCAAGTTTCCAGGTTCGATCGATTTTGACTATATGAACCACTAATTCTAGAATTTCACTACTACAAGAATTCTAGAATTATTTTAGTATAGATTAGGGAAGAATAAGGCATCGATTAATGGGGAGAAAAGAAGGTTGGAATGCAAATTCGTATGCTTTCTTTTGATTCAACTCGTTAGCAGCTTTGATTTTAGTTTAAAAAGTCAAGAAAAATTTACATTTCTTTCAAACATCGAAACGCGAAGATTATTTTATTAACAACATTACTATAACAATAGGAATTCTAGCATATACATTAGCAACGGAAAACGAGAGACTAGAATTTAACGAATTACTTCTCATTATGCTTGATGGGAAATTATGACTCGATTCAAGCATCCCAAATTCACCTAAAATTCATTATACATTCATCAAACATTCACCAATCACTACAAATTCCCTTCACTTTCACTTCATCTGACATTCACGACACATTCGTCTCACATTTACCAAGCGTTCACCACACATCAACACCCATCCAACATACTTAACATTCATACCCACATTCACCTAACATTTACCTGACATTCACTTTACGTCCACTTAATAATCAACATACATTCAACTCACAATCACCTCACATTAATCAAATATTCAATTCATTTATCAGACATTCACCGCACATTAATCACAAATTCATCTAACATTCACCAAACATTCCCCTTACATTCAACTCACTGTCTTTGTATATGATGAGTTTAGGACTTCCTAGTCCCCGGTCACGCTGATGCGCCACCTTCGTCGTCCGCCGTCTCCGAGTCGTCGCTAGGCAGGTCACCCCGCCCTCGGGTCCCGGATATATGTAACGTCGGACGTGTTCCGTATATTTGCCCTCCTTTGGGCCAGCTGATGCAAGATGCTGTTGCTTGTCACTGGCTGTGGGTAGTTTCCCATTACTAGACATTCCGGGATCTTCTTCAGAAACTTTATCCAGTTGTCTCTTGAAAGTCGCAGGAGTAAACTCCCCTCCTCTCAGCGCTTTTAGCAGGGCATTAAAGAGCCTCGGTCCTACCACGGACAGTGATCCCTCACGAAGAGTCTGTACTCTTGCGCGGCTCGGTTATTAAATGGGGGAATCCTGCAGTCTGCCCCTTCTTTCGTTGTAACGTGTCACTATTATGGAAGTCTCACTCTCATAGTTGGGAGTCAGTCCGGTTATCATGTTCCAAGTGTACAGTATGATATACCTTTCTCTTCTCCTGTCCAGTGAGTACAGTCCCAGGTGTTTCAGCCTTTCCCAGTAGTTCAGGTCCGGCTCCATCATGCCTCTGTTTGCAGACGAGAGCGACTATGAATTTTCAAGCAACGAATACGAGTGGTTCTTCTGCGATGAAAACAACCAGTGGATAAAGTATGGCCAAATTAGTTCTGGAAATGATACGAATTGCGTTCCTACCCAAGGTTCTGACGACATCGAAAAGCATTACAAGACTAAGCCTGGCCAGGTGATGACAATCAAGAGCCGACAGCAAACGTACGTGTTGGACCTAACGACCATGACGCAAACCAACGTGAGAACAAGAGTTCAGCGACCCATGAGGCGCAAAGTACGAGAAGTACGCAGGCAAAAGCAGTTCGGACCCATGGCAGGTGGGTCGCATGGTTCATCATCTACGTCAGCATCAACAACGTTGTTCACTGAAATCCCCTTTGGACAAACGAGTTACGCGACACCCATTCGAGCAAACCATGCCGAGTACGGCAAAGTTCTGTCACTGCTGAGGTCCACAAATTGTCAACCCCGCAACATCTTCAAAGTGAAAAACCCCCACCTCAAAGCAGCGTTTGATATCAAGAAGGCTCAACTTCAGAGCCAATATCCAGGTGTTCGGTACAGGGAAGAGTACCTCTTTCACGGAACGAATTCTGTCAACGTCAAAGCCATTCTTGAAGAAAACATTGACTGGAGACTTCATGGATCCAATGCAGGACAAAATCAGGGAAGAGGAGCATATTTCTCTAACAAGTACGTATAATTACATGTATTAGCCATATTTCGCTACAATAATTAAAGTTAATGTAGTTAGGCGGAAGTTCTCCATTCATGCATGTTTCATTGAAGACCAAAGCATACTTTTTAATAACGATTTTCTTATTGTTTTTTTTTTCAGTAAGCCGAACAAAACTTCTTGCTGGTATTTTGAGATTAGAAAGCAGGTTACCAAAGGGCATTTTACTGGAATACTTAATTATAGTATGAACCATCCCTTATTACGATCACCCAATCATATTGTAACCACCTGTATTCCTCAGGTCGCTGAATAATGTCCATTCACGTGATATAATTTCCACGCCCGGACTCTGCGTACTTGATAATACGTACTATAGTTAATTTAATTTAGAGGCAATCCTTAGGGTAATGCCTCACCTCCTCACCTGCCTTAGGTAACCTCACTGTAGCATGCCTCGTTAAGTGAAAGTGAACTTTTTTCCTCTTTTCAACAGTGCACAATTTTCTCGCGGCTACGGGGAAGTCATCTTCATCTGCAAGGTGCTCGTGGGTCTCACCGCCCCCGGCAACGCCCAGACCGTCAAGCCTCCAAAAGACGGGTACGTCCCTCCTACGTAGCGGGGAAGAGGAAAGCGGGTTACCGCTTCTAGTGTTTATTTAGATGCTCTCAGATTCTGTTGCACGTC